ATACCCCCCCTAGAAATATCCACACACCTGCTCAGAATGTACTTGGACCCTCCATGCCTATATAAATGTGTCTCCAATCACTGTACCTCAAAGGGTAATGTGGATCCATAAGGTCCATACACTTTGGGCCAGTGGTGGGTGCCATCAGGGTCCGAGGATCTGCGCCACCAGGAGCCCAATTATGTAGGGTATACAGTATATGTATGATGTTACTCCTGGGATTCCAAGGTTTTGATATGTGTTTATGGTTTTTACCAAAAGAACCATGATTTGAGTAAGGTTGTTAGACTACAGAACCAGGTCAACCTGTCTTTTCCATGATTTCTTGAAAGCTCGGCTAGGGTACAAAACAAACTCTTGGGTGTCTCCCTGCTCTCTAGGGTCTCTTGCAGGTGTCTCCCTACCAAGTAGGGTACAAAAGAAACTCTTTCCGGCATCTCTAGGGTCTCTTGTACCCTACTCTCTAGGGTCTCTTGCATGTCTCCCTGCTCTCCATCTTGTTCCCATCCTTTTCTTCCGGACTTCTCCGGCGCGTCGTCTTCGGTGCCCGGTTTCCCGGCGTCGCGCCGTTGGCGCGGTTTTTGATGCGTGAAACAAGCTGTGACAGGGAGCGATGGCACAGGAAGGTGGCTGAAAGGTCTGCCAAGTGAAGAAGATTGATTGAAGGCTTCAAAGTCGAAGTGGCACACCAAGATGTCTAACCTGTCATATGAGGGTCAGATAAATATCCCTTTTGGGGACTGTGCCATGTACTATAAAACCACTGTATGTAAAAGCAACGAAACCTTTGATGCTGCTACAACCGAGTCGCTGTTCCCACATCCAAATCATCTGGTCATTCCGCCACGTCAGCTATGTAATAATACATAGGACCCATTGACCCTTGCTTTGATAGAACAAGGCCATTTGGGTGATGGGTCCAAAAACAAAGATCATTCAGGTAAATTACCATCCCTAGGGCTCCAGTCGTGCCTCCTCAGAAGGTATGACTTGACCCTCTAAACCCCACCTCAAACACCTTCGAAATAAAGGTGCGACTGCAGCCCTAGGGCCTTTACACGGTCATCCTGCATCCCGCATCCCCTAAGAATCCTTGGGGCCCTCCATGGCAGGGGTCCGGACCCTCAAAACCCTTCCCATCTGAGGGTCCGGATTCTTAGGGTCAATGAGATTTCTTCTGATCCAAAAGCTTTGTTGCTTGCCAGACCTGACAGGTAAAACCCCTCTGTTTGTAGAGCAACATGTTCCAAGAGAGGTTGAGAGATGTTATCGGGCGCTGTAGTGGTACATACAGTATGGGATGGGCTATAGGGCTGTTCGACCTCTCTTGTGTTATTTCTGGGAGTGTAAGTACTCTTGTTCAATCTCATGAACAATATACCGTACCAGTGCCTTCCAACAGGTCTCCAACAGGGATCTGCAAGTGGCCCTTGTTGTCTTCCAAACATCAATCTTAAAAATAGAACAATAAAAAAACACAGCTAGATCCCCCAGGCCCTGGGCACAAATGCGCAGCCCGCCCCCCAGGCTCATCATCCAAGCTCATGACCCTAAGACCAGTTTCATGATTCACTGCTCACTGCTGTGTCACCGACCTCTTAGCCATTTGCTGCGACCGATGTTTTCCGGGGAACAGCATGCCAAAAAAGCATATCTTCCGAGCCAAACTCCGGACAAACATACAGAATAACATCAGCTAGAGCACTAGCTAGAGCATCAAATATGCTAGCACAGCATCAAGCATCTCCGACCCATCCAGAAGGAGTCATGAACAAAACCTTCACCTCCACAAAACCCCAAAAAACCTCCCTCTCTCTTGCCATCGCGGCCATGGTTTCCTCGGTCCGCGTCTCAAAGGTCGAAGATCTTGGCGGTACAATCTTCCGAGCCGGTGAGCACCTGACACGTGGAGGGCGGGGAGAAGGGCCTGGGAGGGACGTGAGGTGTGTGGAGGTGTGGAGATGTTTGGGGAATCAGCGGCCGGCGAACCGCCCGGGTTCGGCCGCCAGGAAGTGCGTTTCATGGATCTTCCTTCGCTTCCTTCGCTTCTCACTGTCTGGATGCCCGGTCTTGGAGACCTATAAGTAAGTAGGGTAGGGTAGTCGAACGCCAGGACAGGATGATCCTTGCAATGTGCTTTTTACATGTTTTTGATCTTTTAGAGATCCAGTCGTATACCGAACCTCAGGTTCGGTACGACTGGACCCGACGTTTTGGCACCTACAGTGTCGAACACATCACCTTCTAAGAAGGTACGACTGGATCCCCTAAGGAGATATAACATAGATCACGGATTGACAGACCGAGATCAACACTTGGTGAAATAGTATCTTTCATTGGAGCCTTATCCTTCTTTCTCCTGTTGCATGCGGTCGGCTTTGCTGGATCAAGAATGCTCGATTGCTCTCCGGCAGCTTTGTGAAACTCCAACCATCCAGTCTTGGGAGCCCGAAATGTCCAAAAACCTCTTAATCTCTTGATTGATAACCCCCCTTTATGAGCTGAGCTTGTTCAATTCAATTGGGGAGGTTATGAATCAAGAGTCTGAAAACCTGGTCCGTCACCTCTTGGAGTACGGTTCTGTTTAAAACCAGCGATCCAGTCAGAGGTTCTTAGCTGAGCTGGTGAAGTTTCAAAGGTCTACATGCTTCTGACCTTGACCGTCAACATAACATTCATATTGTTTTGCAAGATATATTTTCCTGGGGACTACTAAGTTTGGTAAGTTTGGTCTAAGTTACTGGTGTTTACAATCCATGTCTTCTTTACCGCGCCGAGTCTTCGACACATCCCATGCGGCCCAATGCCTGCTGGAAGTTTGGGGAGAAGCAGGCGCTATAGACATGCTCTCCGTGACCTGTGCGTTCGCGTGTGCTGCCAGGAGGTAGTGCCAGGCACTCTGGAACCATCATTTACAGTTTGATGAGACGTGAAGGACACCTACATACTTCTACCAGCAGGCGAGTCTGAAGCAGATTTCAAGAGTCTCACGAGGGGCTGGTCAACCATCAGGGCAGTGGCGGGCCTCCCCAAGTGTGTAAGCTCTCTTCCGTCTTGGACACAATCGAGTTGTTTCTACTTCACAGTGCCAAATGTTCGCAAATGCTTGCGTAAGTAAGCGTTGCTCTACTTTGTTGCTCTAATCATGCTTTTCCTATTCTCCATCATTACCTTTGTTCTCTTCAACTTCTGCATGCCGAAAAACATCTGAAAAGGAACTAGTTCGACAGGCAGGGAACCAAGCAATAACCTTTCAGAACATTCCACTGACTCCCACCAATCGTGGCCTACCCACTAAGTAAGGTGGTGCTGCTAGCCTGGTGGTTGCCGTCAGGTGCAGAAACATGAAGCTTCAGATTGGCATCTAGCGTCATCTGCTCCTGCTCGTCTACTTCGTAGGGTATATATTATATACCAGGACCCTCCAAGGGGTGCCCAACGGAAGTCAATAGGTAGTGTGGGGTAGTCCGGCCAGGACACCCCGGTCCTGTCGGGTCCAGGTATCTACCATCCACCCCCTGGTTCTTCCCGATGGCGTCCCCGGTCCTGCCATTGTTCAGCCCATCGTGCAGCGACGGACGTCGGACGTCGGGTCGCACGGGGTCGCACCTTCGAAGCATCGCAGGCAGGCACCACTCTTCGTGTCAAAGATCCTGGAGACCAGGCACCAACCGGCCCTCCCAACACCTGTGTTTGAGGGCCCGGACGTCTTAGGGAGTGGAGAAAACCCAACGTCCCCCCGTTTCTCCACGGTCCGAGGTGAACCTCACGGACGCTTTGGGACGGTCTGGGGTTCAACCAGGAACCACGAGAGGGACGGCGCTTATCTCGTGACATCAGTCACGAGTGGGCGCTCAACAGTCACCCAATCGGATCAACATGATCATCAAAAGTCGATCGATGTTGATGTAATGCAGTTGCGTTTCAACGTTTATCCTTCACCGATAGTTTGTTGTTCCAGAACTCCTTTAACACAAAGAACTCAGCTCATCAACATCACCTAGGGGCTCCAATATTGATGTGTTTCATGATGATTGATTTGTCCTTGCCCCAGGAGCCCTATCCAATCTGAAATCAACTGACAACATGATAGCGGGGGAAGTCAGTGAAATTCCCGTCGGAAGAAACATTGAGGATGTGGACTTGTGTGTGCGTGAAATCACCCAACTGAGGTCAACAACAATGAAGAACAAGCACCTAGCCATCGTCTACAATGTCTAACTGTATATCTCACCCGACAATGCCTCCCAACAAAACTCCAAAAATATGCTGTCACTATAGCGAGAGGGAGTAAAAAAAGAATGGGACCCAAAGAAATGGGATGATTTTGACAAAGCTATGCAAAGCTGCTGTTCAATCTCGTCCCTGACTTCCGAAAGTTGAACATTGAACAATGGTTCACCATGGTTCACCTGGATGTTAGTGACGAAACGGAGTCCGCAACCCCCCCCCAACCCTCAAGCGTGACCGCACCGCTGATCCACACCCCGATCCCGCACCGATCCCCGTGGCACACCTTTTCACCGCACCGGAGCGGGGGCGGTGTGACCGTTGGGCGCGGTTTTCGCATGGGCGTTTTTTGGCCGAGTGAGCAGCGGCCAGCCCCAAAGCAGCGAAGCACTTCCTAAGACAAGTCCTTAGAAGTAAACTGGCTTGACCTTCAAGGAGTATGTTCTGATCATACTTATGATCCTCTGGACCTTGTCTTCTGGATCTTGTTTGCGCAGAACAAGTGGTGCAAGAAACAATACCTTTTTAAGCTCTACTTTAAGGGAAACCAAGAAGTGCCCAATAAAAAAATCATGTGAGAGATTGACTGAACACGTTGAAACCTGATAGAACATAATCAAACAGTTGTCTTTTCGTTTTCCTTTCTTTGAGTACTGCTTGTGTTGTCATTCTGTTGGGAAATTGAGCAGAAGCAGTCAATCTTCCAACGTCATCAACTTTAGACAGCCTTGTGCTACGCCTAGTCCATTTCCCACAATCCATCTATGCTCAATCCGTTTCCCTTCCGCAATCCTCTTCAGACATGTCACAACACGTCCTACGCGTCCCGACCCTGGTCGCCAACACTGGGTGCTTCAGGCTGCACTGGTCACCTCGCTGGAGAACGCTTCCCTCAGATCCGCTTGGGCCAATTGGCCCGTTCATCCAGCTTGGGGATCATCTCCTGCCTCAGATACGCGCTAAGGATCTGGACGGCAGGCTCCCTCTCCGTTCGAAGGAAGTCCGGCATGGGAAACGAACGAACGAAGTCTCCGAGCGAAGTCTCCGTTCGACATTCGAAGTCTTCCTAGGCTTTTTAGTTGGTTAGAACCGTTCGAACGTTTTAGAACCCTTAAGTTTGGGAGTGCCTAGGCCCTGCTCAGCTGGCAAGTCATGTTGACAATTCTTCTGGCAGGAAATTGATGACATGTGGAATGCGTTTCAAGAGATGTCTCACGGGTCGAAGATGGTCGAAGGGAAATTGAATGAGACCAAACAAGCCACCATAATTTGGTCCCATTAGCACCATAACTACGGTCTTTCTTCTCGCAAAGACCTTCAGTAAGGCTCACATCCTCTCTCCATCTTGGGCCGTTATAAGGCTGCTCCATCCACATTGGCATCAACTGTTCGATGTTGGTTGAGTTCCTCCTTCTGCCACCAACCATCCCTCTCACCCAGGCGGAATCTTTACATTACATTTTGGCACAACAACACACATACATACACATACCGTTCCTCTCATTGCAAGTTTTTTACGCTGTCTTCAAGTGCAGACTTGAAGACGTTGCTGAATCCAGACAAGCGTGTGTCACCTAACAGCAGTCGGCTCATGGGAATTCAAAGTACAGACCTCCTCAGTTTCTCTGGAGACCAAACAAATGGTCAGTTTCTGGAGGCCTAGAGATCTATAGTAGGTATGCGGTCAAAGGTTATATATATATATTAGGGAGTGCGTGGGGCTGTGAAGCACCTCGAGCTATAATATATAAAAACATTTAGACCAGCAGGAGCTATATATAATAGCAGGAGCTATACATAAACCACCAAGAGCTCTATATAAACCAGAAAGTAAAGAAGCCCAGTGGATCCCGATTGCACTCTGAGAAGCCAATTGGAGCTTAACATCATTGTGGAAGAAGACTAGAGCCCAATAGCATTCTCACAAAAAGTTAGGAAACCAGGCGATTTATGTGTTTTCAAAAAAACACAGATTTGATGTTACCACTTAGCTTGTGGTGCTAAACCAGAACATCCGAAGCCGTACACCCTCGGCCCATCCCGGCTCCCCGGTCTGCCGCGTGGTGCTTTTCCACTCCATCACCTGTCCGGAGCCTCAGCTCTTCCAGGCATCAGCTTCCAGCTTGTTGGTGAGCCTCAGGTGCACAAGGTTATGATTCAACATCTTAAGAGTTCATTGAACACAAAGCTTTTTGTATCCAAACTGGCCAAGCAACCCCGTGTACCATCTCTTGAGAGAAAACTCCTCCAGGCTGGTCGGCTGTGAAGCTGCGCAACAAGTCTTCACTTTCCCAATCCAGTCTTCTGATGAAAACGAATGGTACTTCCGAAAATTAATTCCTGAGCTGGAAGGCCAACAGACCCACATGCATCCCACAAACCCCGACCCCATCAAAGAGTTTCCAAAGCATTCAAACTACTACAGCCCAAGGATCTTTCTTGAATTTGCCAGAAAGCAATCTCTTGCATTGCCTCAATTGGTTTGATTTAACATCCTACAAGTATGTGGTCATAAGGGGCACTACCATGATCTTCTCCACCCCAACTTAAATCAACAAGTGCTGGTGTGGAGGCTAGGTGCATGAAATTTTGGCCTTGAAGGCCAAAGAAGCCTCCCCAGGCTCACTGCTTCAGAAGCCAGTTTGACATAGTTGCCAATACAACTATCCTGGGTCCATGATCAGGTTTTGGCGACCATGTTGCTTTTTGATTTCGAGGGGTCACCCCAATCAAGCTAGTTCCAAAAACTGCAAAGCCAAGCCATGCATCCACTTGGCCTTTCATTGCAACTGCGATAGCAGCTGAAAGGTAGCGGCCTTCACTCTCTGAGGTGGCATGGAACTCCGCTGCCGAGCACCTATAAGGCACAAGGGAGGAATGCACAGGTATTGGGCATGTATACAATCAGACTGGCTGACCCACTTTTGGAACAATTGGGTGGTTGGCTTCCAATGCAAACCCACAAAGGCAGTTCCATAACATCAAGGACACCAATCCTAAAAAGTTAAACATTACTAGACATCAGTTCCAAGGAACACACAAAGCTTCAGGCGTTCGAACCGAACTTGAAGCACTGCATCATCAACTTGTCTGGGCTGGCAAAGGTGTGTTGCCAACCATGCCAGTACAACTCTAGCCTTGGTTGCCAGCCCAACTCTAGCCCTGGTTTCAAGAATAAAAGAACCTAGCTAGGCCCACCTTCAGAGACATGTTGAACACGATGTTCTGTGCTCAACAAGCTTGGGGGTAACCCTTGCTTGGGACATAACTTGATTCAGCAGAAGCCACGGAGCATTCCATGCCTTCGATTGAAATTCTGGATAGGGGTGTTGGTAACTGCGCAGGCTCTTGCTGGAAAATTTTCCAGCACTATGCCTAGGCCGTCGACACTGCAACATTGAAAAGATAGATGGATACAAACCTACATGTACAGCCACTTTTGCCAGCTTTTAAACCCAACAAACATCTCGACCTTAGACAACCTACATATTTGTCCAAAGGTCTCCCATTTGTTCTGCCGGCACCATGTTTTGAATGCCTGATATCCACGGTAAAGCCTTCGGTCATCACAGTCATCGGAATCATTGGCGTCCCTCCACTCTCCAAAGTCATCCAACAAGACCCGCAGGGCATTCCCAATGATGAAGAGGTCGGTACCAAGATGCAATACATGCATCCCACACCACTTCAACATACCAATAGTGAAATGAGGCGCTCGCAGCAATGGGCCTAGGGCAAACATCAAATTATTGTAGGTGCTACGGTGCTACTTCCAGGTTCCAGACAAGACAAAACTGATTGGCTACAGACAATCCCCCAAAAATGACTTCACAGCCTGGGCGCATAATGGGCCAGGTTTGACACATTCCTCAAAGAATGTTTGATCTGTATGCCGGAATCCTTGCATGGTTTGCCTCATGTATGCATCCTTATCAGCTGAGCAGTGATGGCATATCATTTTGCAGCCATAGTACGATTTGAGATGAAGCCATTCCTGGCAGGGTCCAATACAGTGGTTTGGAATTCCATATCTGTATAATATATATAGGGACTGAATTCCCACTCTCAGACACAACCCCACCTGTTGGAATTTCCAGTCTGCACGAATCTCTGTCAAAAGGCATTTGGTTCGGGACCCCATGTAGTCAACCCCCTCATCGAACAACTTCTCCAAAGATGCAACAACCTTACTACAAAACAGGGGGCAATCATCAGAGAGTGCATTCAAAAGCTTTCAAAGGGACAGCTTGCATCAAGCGCAGGTCAGCAGCAAACGCCAACTTGATCAAGGAGCCAAGGGACTGGTTCCAAGTAGGCTGCAATAGTCCGGAAGCCAACACTTTTCTCCTTAAGGATGTTGTTGCTTGGCTAAATGGACTATGGGTCCACATGCCTTTTCAGAAGGCAATTGGCCCCCCCAAGCTTACATCAATCGTCTCCAATCACCTTCTGAGAAGGTATGCGGATCCATAATGTGTCAGCTGTGAGAGGTTACAAATTATAGGAACCCAGTCTATCAAAATTGCACTAAAAAGGGCCAAGGGTCTTCTCTGCAGATGACTAATGGAAAGTGAGTCTGTATGGAGTCCTTTCGATCATCCAAAGTACATCCAATGCAGATTATAATCACAGATTCATCTTTGCAGTACTGGGCGGCATCACCCCAAATGAACAAAGGCAAGCAGTCATTGGAGGGAATCCCCATAGCCATGGGTGAAGAACACTCGCGAAGGTGGTTCCAATACCGCATCCGCTTTCTGAGTGGCACCTCTGGGAAAAGCCCATTGCCAATCAGAAACGGGAGGAGCTCACTAGGTAAGGTGCAAGGCATTTTCCTCACATGGGTAACAAGAAGCAACAAGAGGCAGAACATGCACAGGTAAAGCCACAATCCACTGACGGTTAGTTTTAAAAAGAATCCAAAACATATTACTGCTTCACGCAAGACACTTTTCAACTTCACTCCATTGTGTTTCCTGATATTCCATGACTGGGACATCCACCCAGTGCAAAGGAACCTCATCTCAACACAAACACATCCCTTCAAACAATAGAAAGGAAATGACCACAATGATTTTGTTCCAATCCCGCCAGGAAATAAACATTCTTAAATCCAATCAGGATTCCCGATGTTCCAGCTCCATTCGATCCATTCGGCGAAACCAATCACGACGGATATTGTTAGTGTGCTTGCCTTTGGCCCCAGCTCTGCCCAAGCCAGCAGCAGGCCCTCGCATTTCCACTCCCTGAAAAGCAAATTCCTTGCAGGGGGCTGGTGGGTATATATATATATATATGGGGGTACACAGTCAGTACTAGTCTAAAACAAACTTTTGCCCACTAGACTAGTGTCCTTCTGCACATATCCAATGACTTCATGCGCCTTGCGATACGAATCCTTGGGAAGGAAGAGAGGGTTTGGAGCTTGGAGCTTTATCATGCACAGGTTGCCTTAACTCTCCTATCAAATTGGTTTGATGTATACCAAGCCGCCTTTCCCAGCCCACTCTCCTTCAGGAGGTATGCCGTTAAAGGGCTGCTTGCACTCGAGGCTGAAAGCTGACCTGCGGGGGTGACTAGAACAGCAGGTTGGGTTGGTGGTCAGCAGGGAAACACTTCAGAAAACCATTCATTCTGGCAGTCTGGTCCCCAAAAACATGTTTGCCCCTATTGTGGGCATGGTCCATGGCTTCAACCACCAGCCCCAAGGATCCACCCTTTGCTCTTTTTCTGCGAAGTTGCGAAACCAGCTGTCCAGCACTATTCACGCACAAGCTATCCCAAGCAAAGGTTGCACAAGCTTGTTGGCCATATCCCATCAAATAGCCATCCAGAAAAATACAGATTTGTGGCAACGTATATATATATATATATTTTTTTTCTTGCTCCTGCGCAACTCTTTGGCTGCCCCACAGCCAGCAGTGACTAAAGTGCAAAGTTGCTGGAT